CAGAATACCGGTCAGCAGTAAATGCTCTGGTAGAAATGGAAGTGCAGGGCAATGGACAGAGCACGACACGGGGACACAGGCCAGGAAACAACTTGAGGAAGAAAGATCTCTCTGAGTATGACGCTGAGTCAAGACCTGCGGAGGCAGGTGGAAGTCACCCAAGGGTGGGACAAAGCAGGCTGAGGGCTGAGGGCTTGGCAAGGGCGAGACTAGAAAAAAGAGAATGAGGACAGGAGCTGCGAGAACAGACCCTCAGCTGAAGGATAGCACAGCCCCAGACAACAGCATTTCTGAGAATCAAAAGCTCTTTAAGGATAAGAGATTTACTATGGCACATTCAGAGTCCCCTAAATGTGCAAAACATGGGACAGAAAGCCTTGTAAAAATAATCCTTTTAAAAGAAACTTTCCTACCAAATGCTGTTAAGTCAGCAGGCCAACTGGACAGCACACACATTCAGCTGTCACGGACAGGACTGTGGCCACTGGGAGACAAATAAGACACCTTCGAAAGGTCCTCACACTTGAGTTGTGAAGCAGTGTCTGACTTCCTTTTTGAGTCTGTCAATTCTGATTTCCTCCCCAAACTATCCCCCATTAGGAAAGGGTCACGTGACTGAGAGGGGTCTGCAGACAACCCCATCTTCAGGGCAGACTAGCACATGGCCCTGCCTGTCCCTGTGTCTGGGGCGTGCGGGAGGACAGGTCAACAGGGACAGCCTGGACATGACACACCCCAAAGCCCAGATCATTTCTTTTCCCCCAAAACCTCAGGCTCACATAAGCTTAATGAATCATGTACAATTTTTTATCCCCTCCAAGACATTTGCCTGAAAAACTTGAAATACGAGCAGGGAAAAAAAAAAAATTTCCCCTAATACATCTCTGGAAACCCAGGCACAACAGAGGACCTTGCTAACAAACAAGAGTGGATGGTCCCCCACTGAGTGAGACTAGAACAAAGAGGATGCAGCAGCCTTAGTGACTTCCGAGTCTCTTAGAGCAGAGAGCTGAGTGCCCCCTCCCCTCCAGATGCTAACTCCCTTACTTGGAAAAGCCCTCGCGGAAGTAATCAAGTTGAGATGGCACCTTGGTGGGCTGAGGGGTGTCCCCAATCCAACAGGGAAGACAGGGGTCCTGATGAGAAGGCAGAGGCTGGAGAGGCGCAGCTGAGCAAAAGCTAGCTCCATGCTGGCAACCACCAGAGGGCAGAGGGTGGGAGGAGGCCGTCAGGCTCTGGAGAGAGGGCGTGACCCTGCAGCACCTGCATGTCAGACTTCCTACCTCCAGAATCATTAGAGAGTAACTGTTGCTTTAAGCCACCAAGGTGTAATAATTTGTTCCGGCAGTCCTAAGAAACTAACAAAAGAGCTTTAACTTCCTTACTTGGACCCAAAGCTCACACACCACCTGCACAGTGACGCAGGCGGAGGGGCCAGGCAGAAAGGGATGTCTGTGCGGCGGAGGGCTCTCCACAGCCTGTCAGCCAGCGCACTGTAATGCTTGTTTGGAAAGGTGAGTTTGAGTTTGTGCCAACGTGACACGACATCAGGGGATAACCTTGTGTCTGCTAAGGCACGAGTTCTCCCAGGGGAAACACAGGAGGCCACAGACCAGGGGAAGCAACTGTCCGGCTTGGCTGCTGACACCTCGCGGCGGCCCTCAGCACAACTCGGCTCCTTGGGGCCTTGAGCCCCCCACTCCCTCCACACACAGGCTTCAGGTCTCTTTCAATGTGCTGTATTTCCTTTGGTCATTACGCACTCCTCAGCCGTTTAACACACGGACAACTGAGGTTTTCCACTCGGTTCACACCGCAGTGTGGGCGTCGCAGCCACGTGGGCAGCTGTAGGCCCTCTGGCTCTACCTACAGGGATCCGACACTGCGGCTCTCTCCGAGATACCTGCTGTCCTAGCCAGGCCGGGCTTGTCGCATCTGCCCCAAAGAGCACATTGTGAAATATGTGACGGCAAAAACCAGTCACTGGATAGTTTCTGTGTGACTTACACAACAAAACCAAACCAAACCAAACCAAACCAAACCAAACCAAACCAAACCAAACCAAACCAAATCAAACCAAACCAAACCAAACCAAACCAAAAAACTCAACACAATAACCTAATTGCAGTATCTAAAAGACCATTTTCATCAAAAATCATTATTTCAGAAGAAGTTCTGACGAGCTGAAAGCTCTGGCCCTCCTGGGCCCAAGGTCCCCCGTGGTATCGCCTGCTCGGTGTGACTGCCCCTTGGGTGGGGTACAGAGTCTGGTTCATCCCAACCCACCTTATCCTGGAAACACCCGAGTCTGTGACCCTGAGGCAGGTCTTTGCGCCGGAGCTGAATTCCTGCCTGCTGCTTTCTGGTTGTGTCCAAGTGGCCTGGGCTATGAGTGGCCTGAGTTTCTGTTTACATATCTATTAAAAAAGGCTGATGGGAGGGCCCTCCCTGGTGGCGCAGCGGGTTAAAGCACAGCACTGAGAATCTAAAGCTGCTTCCGCATGGGTTCGATTCCCGCCTGCCCTGGAGGAGACCACGTGGCATGGCAGACCTCTCCTGGCCCGCCCGCTGCTCCCCTCAGCAGTGTACTTCGTTGATCTGCCTGTTCTGTTCCCCGCTCTGTCTCTGGTGAAGCCTCTCACCGCCCCTGAGCCTCTGGCCTGCACCCCAGTTCTGTATGCACAAATAAATAAATCTTTAAAAAAAAAAAAAAAAAGGCTGATGGGAAAGAGAGGTGGGATGTGCTGCTGTGCTTGCACTCCTACACTGCCCACAGGAAGCAGGCCCTGAGGCAGTCCCCCACCCTCCACCCCCACCCCTGGAGTTCGCACACTTCTCCATTAGTCTTGTCCTATCCCTTCCTCTCATCCAAGATCTCCCAGGGTGGCTCTCTCACTCATGCACATGCTCCCTAACAAACAGGCCTACTCTGCAAGCCCATGCCCAGTGATGGACCTGGAGAAGGTTCCAGTACATGGAAAAGGCTCCTACTACCATAAAGGCTGGAGATTTAGTGAAAAAAGAAGCAAAAACCAAGCAAACCATCCAGTCAATAAGTTAAGTTTATATGCACAGTAGGAGGGAAAAGATCAGACTGGGATGAGAGAGTAATACCACAGGAGCCTAACTTCAGAGGCCATGGAAGGTCTCTGTGAGAATGTGGCATTCAGAGTCAGCCTCAAGACTGAGAGGGAGCCAGACAAAGGTTTAGGGAAAGTATGTTTCAAGCAACAGAAGAAGGAACTGATTACCAGCGACCTTTATAGCCCAGAGACCATAAATACCGACCCAGAAGTAGAGAGACAGGTGCTGGGCAGGCCTGGCGAGGAGTCTGGATCTCAGTGCAGCAGAAGCCAGGCAGGGGGTTTTCCTCCCCAAACCAGAGCCTTAGTTTTCTTTTCCGTATACCATCTTATGTGTGTGCAGACATACGCCCTAACACACAACACATGTATACTCTACTTTACAAGTGTACAGATTATGTAGACTTTACATGCTCTCTATATAGCACAGACATAGAAACTGTTAGATCACATGGGTCACTGTATATTAGAGTGTAACAAAGAACAGCAGCAAAGACGACTTAATTAAATGTCTTTTTAAAAGGCGACAAATCTGTTAAACATTTCTTTGACCTATGCATATTATCTCTTACTTAAATATGAACTCAGATGAAAAATGCTGCTTGTACACAACGATCACACAAATATCTTCTCCATTTAACCCATCAGCTCAGTACCTACAAAATTTAAGCGGAAAGAACATTTGAGCTTTCCTCCTTGAATAACATAAAACAGTGTTTCCTAAACACAGTCAGGGTTTCATGTGAGGGAATAACAGGCAGTGCCTTAGATCTTTCTGGATGTTAAGTGGGAAAAGATAGGATAAACAAGGTCAATGCTGAGGGGTGAGGTGGGAAGTGGCAGCTGTTGTCAGAGAGGAGAAGGGCAGCAAGGCCAGGAGGGAAGAGAAGGGAGGGCTGGGTGCGCTGGGGAAGGCGAGGGTCAGGGTGAGCTCGGGGAGGTGCTGACGTGTGGAGGCCGGGAGCAGCTCTCGGAGTCTGTTTCTGGCTTGCCAAGTGATGCCCGTGGAGCTACGTAGCACCTGAACTACTGCAGATGAGTCTGGATTCAAAGTCTACTTCTGATTTCAAGTTCAACATGTAAAGAGCTTAGAAATCATTATTTTTTACTCTTACAAGAAAAAGACAATCAGTCTCTTGTAACTTTCACTGGACTCATCAGAAAAGGAGGTAAATTTCACCCTGAAGTCTCAAGAGAAGTGAATTCACAAATCTGGGATCTGCATACTTGCAAAAGACACCGAATTGCTAGAGCCTTAGTGAGGACGAGCACAGGACTGAGAAAACCTGAGGGTCCTCTGTACTTCCACAGGTCTTTCATGAAAAGCTGAGAAAGATCCCGCTTGATGGTTCTCCCAGAGGACAGGGAAAAGCAATTTTTTGGTAAAGTAAGCTAGGCAACAAGGTTCCCGTCCCCAAAGGAAGGCTTTCTGGGAAAAGGTCATTTTTCAACCCCAGGCCCCTCTACCCTTCCTGTCACATCTACGGGGGGCAGGGGAAACTAAGGAGCACTTCCAAAGGTCAGACCTTAGAGACTGTCGTAAGATAGCCAATGTTTAGAGATGTGATGTCTGTAATTTATTTTCAAATGATCAGAAAAAATACACAGACACACTCAGAATATTATAGCAAACATCGGTTGAATTGGGGTTTAGAGTATACAGGACTTCCAGGGCTATTTTCCCAACATGTGCAATTATATAACTTACAATTTTTTTTTAACACTGTGGCTAACATAATATAGCTGTTAGCTTTATAGGCATCACCTCATTTAATCTTTCCACAACCCCGTAGATAGGCACTATTATTGCTGTCATTTTGGTGGGGGGATAGGGTGTCCTGAACAAACTCTGCAACAGGTTTTATGGATCCCACCCCCACCCAAGACCTCAGAGCTCCAAGGCACCCAGGCCTACAAATCCCATAATGTCACCACTACCGTGGAGGACACCAGGACCTGAGGGTAGAGCTGAGCAGTCAGGTTGGCTTGACCAGACAGCTCTCAGTGTGCTCCTGGGGCTCCAGCCCAGCAGAACTGGTAGGGCGCATGCATCTCCTCCTCCTCCTCCTCCTCCCTGGATTTTTCATTTCTTCATTCCCCCTTTGGTTAAAAAAAAAAAAAAAAAAAAAAAAAACCCTCACTACCCCTTTTGTATGAGCCTGTGGTAGAGTCCCCGTATAACTCCCCTTTAAGTGTGTGGGTGAGGACCTACAGTCAGGCCACCTGTTTCACACTGGGGTTGCCCTGTAACAATTTTGTAGCTATAAAGATTATAAAAACATTCTCCAGGGTCACACAGCTGGGTAGAGACAAGATTTGACCCCAAGTCAACTCTATACAGAGTCAAAGCTTCTAACTGTTACCAAGGCTACATCCTTTATCGAATGATCTTCTCTCCCAACCAAGTCACTATTTGAGTTCCAAGCACTGTTATTTGTTGACATATCAAAAACCTTGTCCTCGTCTCAGGTCATAGGGGGTTGGGGGTTCATCAGTGAAGTCAGGGCTAGAAATAAAAACTTCATCAATCCATCAGCACCAACACTGAAAATGCAGAAATCAAAACCATCCAAAATCTTTATTTTCCATTAGAAAAAACCACCACCTTGAAATACAGCCAGTGCAGCTGCACTGATGTGTGGAAATATTTTCAGCTATATTTACTACACATACAAAGCAGGCCAAAGGACTATCCCCATGACAGACTGAAAGCTTGATACAAATGAGCTATTCTCTGACTTCTGGCTCAGTACTGCAGGTGCCGTGTGGCCGTGGGGAGCACCTGGGCATGGGGACAGCCCCAAGTGCGGAGCTAGAAGGCCCTTTGGAAAACATGTACAGTGGGTGAACGTATGCTATTCCTTGAAATACAACTAGTTACTGAAAAACCTTAGTTCTGAGTTCTCACCTGCTTTCAGAGGGTCATGGCACGACTGTGACAGCCACACTGACACGCCTAGCGAGCTCCTTTCCTGGAACTGGGGAGGTTTATGTATGTAGGAGCCTAATGCCTACTACCCAAAAATTAACAGACCCACTTTCAAGTGATCATCAGCAAATAAGAACAAAGGAAAAAATTAAGCTACACTCAGTTACTAAATCTGAGGAACAGTGAAATTTCATTAACACCGGACCTGTTGCTTCTGAATTTCCAACACTCAAATATGTTTCCTACGTGGTATGATGTTAACATGACAAGTAAATGAATTTCTGACAGAATATTACACAATACAGATATAAAGGGAATATAATCTTAACAACTTACTACATTTTACTTATTAGAACACTAATAAGTAGATTAGTTTATAATAGATACTACACCAAATCACCTTTCAGAGGGGGCAAATGCTATGTCATACTTATATTCCGAGTGAGAAATGAACTATAAATGAAAGCACTCCCCCTGCTGTGCTGGCACCGACCCACCCTGGCACCCCTCACACTCGTGTACTAGCATTGTATCTGCTGAGCCCCTGCTGGTTTGGCTTTGGCCCTCAGACTGAACCTACTGCTCATCAGGAGTCTGATACGCAAACCTCTCTCTTTGTTCAGTAGGCCACAGGCCAGTTCAGGGAACCTCGGTAAGAATATTGTCCCAAAATGAGTATAGATTACTTCCTAACAACACTAGTAATAAATACTATCATTAGCACATACCGAGTATCACTATGTGCGAAGCACTGTTCTGAGTACTCTAAAAGCCATATCCTATTGAGCCTCACAAAACCTTAGGTGATAAATACTATCATGTACACTGCCAAAATGAAAAAACCCAAAAAACAAAAAAAACCTGAAGTACTGAGAAGTTAACTTTTCCAGGTCAAAAGTGCTAAGGGCCCTCCCTGGTGGCGCAGCGGGTTAAAGCACAGCACTAAGAAGCTAAAGCCACTTCAGCATGAGTTCGATCTCTGCCTCCGAAGGTGACCAGCATGGCGCAGCAGACCTCTCCTGACCTGCCTGCTGCTCCCTCAGCAGTGTACTTCGTTGATCTGCAACCTACTCTGTCTCTGGTGAATCCTCTCACTGCCCATGCCCCTCTGGCCTGTACCCCAGTTCTGTATGCATAAATAAATAAATCTTAAAAAAAAAAAAAGTGCCACTAAGTAGGGTACTGAATTTGACTTCAAGTGGGCCTATTCTCTTGAATACTAGGACACACTGCCTCATTCTGGAAGGAAAGTAAAAGAAAATCATATGTCAAACTCAGTAGTTTGAAACATTAATTTAGACTTTTGCTTTTAAGTTAGCTCAACAAATGTAAACTTTTTCTTTTACTTTTCAAAGAAAACATGTGTATGTTGGATTTCATGCCCCATAGGCACACTCCCTAGCAGAAACCTCTGGAAAGGTTTGTTCTTGGAAAAGATGCATGGAAAGTAGGGATGCCTTTGGGCAGCTGGCTGGAACCAGGTGGGGCCAAAGTAGGTAGGTACCTGAATTCGCTGAGGTGAAGCTACCGCAGAGTCGGTGGAGATTATCTGGATGCGTGGGGAGGGGCTGGTCATCCCTGGAGATTCCGGCCGAGAGGTCTGTGTACGTGGTACCTGAGGGTGAGAAATGAAATGATCAACAGGGGCTGTAGAGACCAGAGGGGGCTTGAGGCCAACATTTACTGGGCAATAAAACTTGTGGAGGAGAGAACCAAGATGACAAAGGCATGAATGAGATACTGCCATGGTTGACACCAAGGAAATACAACTTTTTTTTTATACATACAAAAACTGAGGTGTACACAGTCAGAAGTACAGGAGGTGAGAGGATTCACCAAAGACAGTAGGGAAAAGAACTGGCAGACCAACTGCAATACACTGCTGAGGGGAGCAGCATGTGGGACAGGAGAGGTCTGCTGCACCATGTGTGGTCACCTCCCTGACTGGGGATTGAACTCATGCCACAGTGGCTGGTGATAGCTTGATAAGGCTGAGACTTTAAGCCCTGCACCACCAGGGAGGCCCTGGAAATACAATCTTAAAATAGCTGTCTCTCATATTGAAAATGCAAGGAAAAGCCAAAGGAACTGTCAGTCCTGTTCTGCACAATTTCAGTAAAATTGAAAGCTTATTTCAAAGTGACTTTTTAGAGATGATCTTTTGAGTTTTTTCCACTATCTGTAAAGTCAGCTGTAAAACATTCCTTTAAGATGACAGCTTCCAGAAGAAAGGCTCATCAACACTTTTGAAGATGGCAAACAGAACCAGAACCACACTGAAAATGATTAAGATTGCTAGTGTCCGAACAACATTCCAATCCCAGTGGAATGGGGATGGAAAAAGCAAGTAAAACAAGAGTCTAGAATTTAGTCAATACTCAACAAAGGCAAGATTCAAGGTTCTCAGTGGTCATCTGAAGTGGACACAGGATTTTTCTTCACAAAATGTATCTGAATGAAATACTTTCATGAGTGATCCTTGAGGACATTTATGTTGAAGAAGCCACACACAAAGGCCACAGACAGCATGATTCCATTTATATGAAACGTCCAGAAGAGGCAAATCGATAAAGATGGAAAGTAAATTAGTGGTTGCCTATGGCTAAGTGGGATAGGGAAATGGTGTGAGGGGTGGCATGGGGAAGGGGGTGGTTCTGGGAAGAGGGGTCTCTTTGGGGGGGTAAGAAAACTGTTCTGGAACTAGATAATAGTGATGGCCGCATGGCCTTGGGAATCTATTAAATGCCAAAGAATGTAGGCATACAGGGTAGCATGTGAACTGTATTTTAGTGTAACGCTTAAGCATTTTTAAAAGCTGAATGAATAAGTCAGGGGAAAGGAGGGAAGAGACAGTGACAGGAGGGGCAATAGGAAAGTGTTTTAGTTTAACCTGGGTGATGGTTACATGGGAATGTTTTCTCTGTGATCATTCATATTTAAACACTTACGAATTATGAACTTGTATATGTTACATTATGACAAAATGTTTGCATGTAAAAAAACAGCAGGGACAAATATTTTGCAGGGACTCACAGTAACTGAGCCCTCTGAGCATTTACCTGCGCCAGCAGGAGTAGTGCATCGGGTGCTCAAGCAAGCAGAAGCCAGTCCTCACGCAGTGTGGCGATGAGGGCTGGGGCGGGTGGCCAGAGGGAGAAGCCCGGGACTGCCATCTGCTAGTCTTGCAGCCTTGCCTGAGTCATAAACTCTCTGGAGGCTACTTTCCTCACTTGCTAACAAATACATCTGCAAATTTTGATTCTTTACATGTAAGAAACCCAAAGTTCTTTACTAATTTGCCTGAAAGGTGCCATGGGTCACATTTGCAGTGAGCTCCCTGTAGCGCAAATAAAGTTAGATCAGGTGAACATCCTTATGGTAAGGATGTTTAATACGGGAAGTGACAGGTGAATGGCAAAGTTATTTGGGATCTGCTATTCTCACAGGATAAGAGAGGGGATGTCTGAGAGGTGTTGGGAGCAGTTCAGAGAGGTGATGCATGATGGAGTCCTGAGAAGCCTAATATCTGTGCTGCGTTTAGAGCCTACTACCATGAACTGACACCAAGGTAGGAAGTGTTTTATGGAAATCCATTAGTACAGTAATAAAAGGTCAACTTAGTAACAGGATATAAAAGTACTGGGTACATTTTTGGTAAAAGTGTCTCCTTTCCAGACTGCTCTTTCAGTGCCTGAGGACCATGGCCCTCTGCCTCGGTCTTCTTTCTAATCCCTCACCTGCTCAAGTTGCAAAGAGTAGGCTCATTTAGTTCACATGCAGAATAAATATCTGACAACACTAGGACTTGGTGTCACACCCCCCCCATCCCAACCCCCAGCACTCGAGAAACTGCCCCCCGAAGCACGATTAAACCATGACTATTTGGACACAGGTCTTGCAGGAGAGGGTCTCTGGCTCCCTAAGTCAGAGTGAAGTCAGCTGCCCCATCGCACATCCTTCTAAAGCTAACCATGCACCCAGCACATGTTTACCGTCAGAAGAGCTTCGAGAAAGTCATATGACTCTGGCCAGCCTTTTCCCATCCCCAGGGCTGGAATATAGAGCCTGCTCTGGGACAATTTCTCCACCTAGCACTCAGTGTAGCTGCTTGTTTTAGGTGTACCTCGGGGTCCAGAGGGAATAAGATCAGATCCCCAAATGACTGCTTAGTGAATCAACAACATTAACATCAGTAATGAGTAAGAAGCGACATGCTCCATAGCCCTCACTCTAAGGATCATTCTCTGCTCTACCCCACTCCTATTCCTACCTGTGAATTAGACATTTTTTAGCAGAAGTCATACAACACCTGCCTGGAATGGTCAGTTTATAGACTAGGAGAACTGGCTCCCACCAGCACTTGTGGGTTTGAGGGTGGAACAAAAGTTCATATATGCACTTTCATTTTTGAGTAAGAATTTTCTGTATTTCATCATCATATAACATTGCTGTGGCATTTGCTTATGAAATAATCTTAGGAAAAATTTCTGCGGTTTACTACTAAAAGATAAATATCTAGGTTGAAGAGAATGCCCACAGCACTGGGCTAATGAATAAAGAATTTCTAAATCTACTTTACTCTCTGGGTTTGGTAGCAACATTCCCAGAGTTATTAATAGGGCAACAGAGTTCATACTCTGTAAAAGAGAAAAAAAAAATAATACGACCTACATGTTACAAATCTGCAGGAGGAACTTCCCATTTCTCCTCAACATTCCCAGTGAAATAATGAACAATGTAAATGCCTAAGTGGGGTAAAGGTTTTCAGGCAGGCAACACCTCCTGGCAGAACTGATACAGACCACATCCTCCCTTTATTTCAAAGCACCATTAAATGGTCAGTTAGTGAAGGGTCAATGGGCAAAACTTAGCCTCTTTCAGTGTGGATCCTGGGAACAGGCCAGAGGTCTTTACAGCGCCTCTCACAGGCAGAGTAAGGTGAGGCCTGCCCACTGCTGTGCTATGATCTAAAGGCTACTTACTTACTGCTTGTGACTTGTAGGGCTAGCTCTTCTTTATGCTGCAGTCAATGAAGGAATAAAACTATCGTAATAAAACATGAAAAATCAGTCTAATGTCAGAAGTGATTAGCCAGTTTTTGAGTTTTCCTATTGAGAATGTTAATAAATTAATGAAAACAAACTATAGCTCTAAGTTTCTTGGTACAAAAACAAAGATCCAAAAATCAACCATCACCACCCATGCTTACGTAAAACAATGGCATATTTAAGAGTAACATGATTCATAAACTGTATGCAGATTAACCTGATGAAAAAAAAACAACACGTGCCCCACCTGAATTTATAAACATACTCAAATACAAGTTTTGATGAAATCTGTTTCAAATAAAAAACTATTTTGCTAACTGCTAAGCATAAGAACAGACGCTAAACTGAGTTTCTTCAAATACATAACAGGCACCTAAATCTACTGCTCTTTTATCAACTGCTCCAAGAACTACAAGTGTCAAGGAAACTTCCTGCATTAAAAAGAGGCTTCCTCCCCAGCACAGAGTGTTAACAGGCTTCAATACTGCAAGCTTGGTGTACTGCAAAACACTTACACTTATACTTTCTGCAGCTTTACTTACATTTTTCTCAGAACTTCAGGCCAGAAAGTACAGCCAGAGGTTATCTGGGGGAGCTCACAGGCCTTTGCTTTCAAACAACCAGGAAGCAAAATTGACATGTTTCTGTTGTTTTGCCATATGCTGAAGCTGTTTAGTAATGACTAATTGCTTCTAGGGAAGATATACTTTGCTTTACAAAGTTCTCCTTTCATCTAAATTGTTGCATTGTTAAATACACTCTTTCCCCTTAAAGACCACCTTTCTGGAACTTAGGGCGCATGAGAATGCTTACCACCAGTCCAACCAACCCAAAGAGGTCTTTTTTTTTTTTAAATAACATAATAGTTTATTTTTACATAATTTTGTGCCTTTTTCCATCTCAGTTGTAATCCCTGTGGGTCTCCCCATCACCAAATCACCCATGTGCCATCACCATAGTCCAATGCACGCCCCCCCCCCCATTTTTGATCCCACTCCCCCATCCCTGTAAAATGTCTCTAGTATATAATTGTTCATCATCATTATTACTATTTTCTCCCCTGATCCTTTATACTCCTGTTATGAGCGAAATATTTCCTTTTCTTTCTGGCTTATTTCACTAAGCATGATCCCTTCCATCTCCATCCATACCAACCCAAAGTTTTAAAGCAATAGAAGTGGAAGAAGATTTGGAGAACTCAGAAAATACTGTTTGCATCCCCCACCTTTAATTTCCTACCACATTTAAGGCCATATTTTAAAAGATATATAGAGTTTTTCCAAGTTCATTCTATGGGAAGGCTACAGTGTAACACTGCTTTATATACAAAAACACAAATAAGGGTCAGATCACTGGGCTCATTTAACAAATATTTTACTACCCGAGGGAGGGTGTCAGTCATTTGCAGAGTTCTGGGTCAGAACTTTTGGGCTCTAATGCATCCCCCTTCTAGGGGTCAACATGAACTATACAGTGTGGATAAGAAGGTGACATTGTAATAGGTCACAAAACAGCTTTGCTCCAAGGCTAAACTTCCTTTCTTCTCCAACAGAGGAAGGACGTTCCC